TCAGTGACAACAGTTGAATGTAAATTAGATACTGACAAACCCTAAGTATCACTCATGACCCACCCTTATCCAGAGCAAAGTGGTCTATGATTTTAGTGTAGACACTTAGGCAACCCAGATAATGACTTAGAATAAATCAGACCAATACTTTCTGCTGGATATAGGCAAGGGTGCAATGTGCAAACAGACTGCTGGACTAAATACCATCTCCTTATAAATCCCCTCTAAAGGTTATTGTCCACCAACTCTGGCCTCTCACCACACACTACAGGCCCTGTGATCTTCTTGGCCCAAGGAAATCTCTGTCTAGGTGTCACTCCATGCTTATCTCCCAAGGCCTATCCCTAACTCAAGCAATCTCTGAAGGAGAGTAACACTTGAGTTGTGGAGTGAAACTCTCATACTGTGTGTTGGTCTCATCCTTAGTCAGGTTAGTCTTGTGGTTGTGATAGCACTCTGCTGAGGAGAACCAAAGTGCAGAGCAAGCTAGGATTTGGTAGTTTAGCTACTCTTCACCTCTCCACACAGGGCATGTGATGTGGCAGTGTCTGTGGCGGGGATAAGGCAGGGGTAAGGCAAGGGCAAAGCAGGGCCTTTCTTCTCTCCCACAGGGCACAATAAGTAGCTCATGGTAGGGTGGGGGTGGGCTTTGTGTTGTAATTCTCGAACAGTTTCATTTTCATAAACTTCTATTAGGATAAATTCTGCTACCAGGTTCTGTTGATTTCTTGAATTCTTAACTTTTTCCTTCCTTTCTTCCTTTTTCTCTTCCTTTCTCCATTCCCCTCTTCCTCCTCTCCTGTCCCTTCTCTGGATTGAACAGAGGGCCTTTGCTCTGACTCTGATCTCCCTCTCACCCCATTTTTTATTTTGTGATCAGGTCTTGCTAAATTGTTCTGGCTGGGCTAAATCTTGTGGTCCTCTTGCCTCAGACTCCTAGACTGCTGGAATTACAGGACTGTGCCATCACACCCAGCTAGTACTTTAAAATTGGATGTTTTATGTACATGTACCAACTGCATGATGAATATAATCATTTAAGTTTTTAAATTTTAGAAATGAAATAAAATTGACAACTTTTCCTCTTCCCATTCTCTTCCATTCTTATTTAATGCAAAAATGATCTTTACTCTAGATTTCTACAATAGACTCCAAAACTGTTTCTCTGCATTTCATTCACTATATTATTTTATGGAGATTTAAACATGTGACTTTTCTGCTTAAAATATTCCCGTAGCTTCCCATTAACATTAGTATATAGACTTGAATATCTGAACGGGGTCCAAAATATGTTTCCACTTATGACAGTTATTCTATGCCTTGCTCTTGAGGATACCTTGCATTGCTTACCTTCTTGCTCCTTATGGTTCAGTGTAGGCCTTTGATTAGTTCTTCAAGCCCATTGTAGGTCCACATACAGGAGCATGGAGTACCTTCTTCCCTTCTGACCTCAGTATAGCTAATTTATTCTTATCCTTTGACCCTCACTTTATGTGTCAGTTCACCAATACTGCAAACCGTATCTTACTCCCCATCATATGTTCCCATACTACATTGTAATACATCTATAATTTGTAAGTATTCAAATTTATTTTGGGATGTTGTAATGCTAAATTTGTGCTATGGAATGTGTGATCCAGGATATCAAAAATAACATTTTTTTCTAATTGTTGTATCCCTAAAACCTAAACTAGTACCTGTAGCATGATAAATTACAAGTATCAATTGAAAGAGTGAATTAATGCATACATGGCTTTATCTAATGATGACTTTTAGAATATCTTAAAAATTATGAAATCACTCATAAGTACTGTAACAGACTTTAAGTCTGTATATCCCCAAAAGACTTCAATGTCAAGTGTTCTTTGTTCTGAAATTAAAGCCTGTGAGCCTTTTGTAATTCTCCTTTCACATAAAATTTATAAGATTGGTGAGAACACATATCTGATTAAAAATTGCCCCTACTTCTGCTAGATGTGACCTGTAATTTTTCCCCAAAGTACAATTTTAGAAATTTTCTATTGATTTTGAAAGCTCCTCATTCACCTTTGTCTTTGCTGCTGTCTAGTCTCACTCATTCAACAGCAATTGCAGTAAGCGTCTGTGCAAGTTTGTCCAAGGTTTGTTTTCAAGGAACTCTATCCCTGTCTCCATTCTGGAATATGTGTGCAGTAAAAGAACTAATAGATGGTAGTTTGTATAAAAGAAAGAATGCCACATGATAAATAATACTAACAGGCAGAGTAAAATCAATGATAAAATTTTCCCAAGATTTGTCACCCCAGCTGTGTCAGCGCAGTGCAATGCTGAAAGATTAAATCAGCTAATAAAAGAGTAAGCTCATTCTAGATTCATGGCTGTCATTACTGACATAAACAGTAGAAGCAAGAGTCAGCAACGGGACCAGATCTTTCCATGTCCATTGTGCAGGGCAACATCAAAACGAGAGGGATCAGAAGGCTGCATCATGAATGATAAAATACCCTGTTGTTGAGAAACTAATTCATGCTGCCACTAAGCAATTTTGTAGCTTGTAATTCTACAGTAAAGAAAATGAGGTAGCAAGCCTTATACCTCTTCAGAATCTGGGAGGCAACGAGAAACTGACTAATCACAGCTTCTGAGGGGAGATAGGGAGGAAAAGTGAGAAATATTCTGGCAGTAGTTCATTATGAGCCTTCATATTTTCATGCGTGGGAAGAACATGGGCCTTTCTGCCATCCTTTGCATCAACTCCAGTTAAGCCATGCATATGTGGCCCTATGTGGAATCAAGCAAGATAGCCAAGGTGCCCTGGCATAGTCATTTTCCTGCAAATTGGTGAATGGGATCCTCTCTGAATCCATAGGCTTTTTGCCATTGTGCTATGTTTTATGCTACAAAGTTAAAAATTTAGAGAAACAGACATGTGTTGTTTATTTCTTCTTTTAATTGAAGATTTCTCTCAAGTAACAAGCATATTAGTACTTATCTACTGTTATTTGGATTAGACCCTCACATTTCATTTTAACCATTGATTTAGAAACATTTTGAACTTCATAATTTCCATTTTTTCCATCCCTTGACCAAAATAAGTGATGTCAATGAAGGGGAAATAGATATAACTCCCAAACCTGCTAGATATCTGAAACCAAGTTCATATTATCTAAAATTGAAGAATAAATTCTAGGAACATAGTTGAAGAGTAGGAAAAATTTATTGAGAGAAAGAAAGCTTCTGTCTAAGAGAGGCAGAAAGGGGACTGGGAAGTCGGTTGTCCAGGACCCTATATCCCAGGGAGTTTTGTGGAACAAAGCCATGAGATGAGCGGCATTCAAGGTAGGACAAAACTATAAGACCCAATGGGAAATTACATTGTGGGCATGAGGTGGAGCAAAACCATTACCAACCAATAAGATGACAAGTACGGTCACCCAGGTAATGGAATCAAGTCACATACAAGGAATTTCCCATTTAGAATACCAGTCACTGTGATTACTCTCTGGGGAAGTAGTACCTCTTTTCCTTTTTTATAATGCTGACCAGTGAATATGCTGTAATTGTTCTCCATGTTGGCTCCTGGTTGTGTTGGCTCCGTGTGAGCTGGCTCCTTGTGGGTGTCCCTGTGTAACTACCTACAAGATAATCTAATTAACTTATCTACTTACATTAATATGACTCAGAATTTGCCTAAACATTCACAAAACATGTGCTATGAATTTCATACATATACAGGGCCGGGGATTCAGCTCAGTGGTTCTGCTGCCTGCCTCACAAGCGCAAGGACCCGAGTTCGAGCCCCAGTAACCCCCCCAAAAATGTATACACACACACTCACACACACACACACACACACACATGCATACAAATTCCTGTGACTCACTATAAGAAAATCCAGTATTTGTTAAATATCTATATGTCTAAGAGTTTGATTTAGATTTTACAGACTGGATTAAAATTTAAACAGTATTCATTCTTCAGTAATTTTTTATTAGTACACGTTTATAGTACATAAAGCTTACATTCATGTTGTGGGCAGGCATATGCACTTCACATATTTTAATTCTTTTCATTCCCCTTCCCCTCTGTGCCTCTCTATTGCCCATTCCTCTATCCCTTAATCCCCTTCCCATTTAAAAGAGATCTACCTCCTTATTTTCTCTTATCTTTTCTTTTTAAAATTATAAATTCTTTGTGTTTCTAATGTAAGAGAAGTTATAAGATGTTTAAGCTGATATGTCTTAGTTGACTTAGTATCATGGTCACTTAGCATGAATGCATCTCCTGAGGCATTGGCTGGGTTTGGCGTTGGTAAGCTCTGGCCTCAGACTCTGACACTGCTGGATATATGGATGTGCACCACCAAACTGGATGCAATTTCTTAAACTTTGTGGGGAGGTTATTAATTGACTTGCCTCCTTAGAATATAATGTTGGATTGCACATTGCATACAATTGTATATATGAGAAAAATACTTGAATGTATTGTTTCCACATATTTTGGTCATATGAAGATTGCAACTTGACAGAAGGGCAATACAAGTATTAGGAAAAGCTCAATCCAGATCATTTCACATATAATGTTTTACAAAATTACCAGTATGCATAGTATTTTAAAGGTTTTAAATATACTGTTTTTCTCTGTGAATTATTTCACTTCTTTTTGTTTGACAGTTAAAATGTGGAAAGAAGTTGAAAGGGTGTTTGACATATGACTAATTCTTAGCAGCTTGAGAGGCTAAAGTAGGAGGATTGCAAGCTTAAATCCTACACTGGCAATTTAGTCAGAGCCTGCCTCAAAAAATAAAAAAGCTAAAAGGATGTAGCTCAGAGAAGGTGCTGTATTCAACGATCATTACAAAAAAATGTCATGGTTTTGTAAACAGTTTTCTTGTTCTGTAGAAGTAAGTGCATTTCAGGATATATGTAGCAAGAGCATTACCTACAAACTCTATAGTGAATAAATGATTATGAGTAGTCTTTTTCAGTAAAATGTTTCTACTTTTGTCTTTTGTTAAATAGAAATGAAACCACTATCACTGTGAAATTTACCACTCGCTTCCTTCGACCTGCTGAAGCTTCATTGCTATTAATTTCAAAACCTAGGCATGGAGTGGGAGGCATTACCATGACTTTTGCTTTAAAGGGAGAGATCCTCAATATTAAAGCAATTGTGAGTAAATTTTACTTATTGTGTCTTTGCTTCTGTTCTGAAAACTTAGAGTGGCACACATGGTTGTTCACCCTTGTTTAATCTCTAAGCAGCTATTGATCTTTGAGGTCATCCTTTTGCCATGGAGACTTGTGATTTATGTTAAAACGGTCTTGGAGCTATGTGTGTGTTTTTGTTTAGACTAAAGGTTGACAATTTGTTCAGCAAAGAAGAATTTTCTCTTTTCTGACGGGAATATTCAGCAATTTATCTGGAATATCATGTGAAGCAAATTCATTATAAAACTAATGCTAGTGCTGTCCTTTATTGAAAGCTGATGATGTTTCTGACAGAATCTGAAGTATTTATATATCAAAGGCTGGAAAAGAAGGATTTTTAATTTTATATAAAATGTTTGACATTATGGCTTTTTGTGCCCATGAACTTATGTAGATATTATTGCCACTATGGATGTATAGGTAAAGAACAAGTGAAATTGTTATTGCCACATTTCTGTGACAATTACAACAAATTTTGCATAAGTGAGAAGAGTAGAAAGTAGATGCTCGAGTGATGACTACATGTGTGAGGAAAGCGGCAAGATATTCACAAGTATGAACAGGCTTATCATACACTAATGTGCAGAACAGAAGTGGGTATTTGTCACTGAGATATATGTTATATTCTGATTTAATCTTGAATAATGAGTACATAGCAAAATCCCAGCTCTTTCACACAAATTCTCTGAAGCAGTAGAGTTCTTTACCACATGTAGTTAAAAGACATGCTAGATTTAACCTGTCATTAACATGACTTCATGACATAAAAACTGACACTTTAATGCCCTTCTCCTCTACTTCCCGTTCTGTCGACTTATGGTCTCAAATCACCAGTAAATAGATTAGAAAATAATGGACAAATGAAATGAAGCAAGAATACATATATTCAATTTAAAATGTACAATTTCTAGAAACATTTCCTCCATGGAAACCCTCTGGATAAATGGAAGTTTTTATTTTATATCTATTATGCCTTTATTATATTACAAATCTGTCAGCATGGCAAGTGCATTATAGAGGCATACATGCCAAACTTGGGCACAACTTTACACAAAAATATTCATGCATGGACTCATACATGCAAATGCTTGCCTTTGCTTTACATCATGCATATTAAGCACCATCTATATATAACTAATTCTTTATGAATATAAATTATATCATGTCATGAATAAAACAAAATTTAGGATACCAGTTTGAGAGACATTATTATTATTGCATTACTATTAAGTAATTATTAGCAAAGTGCTATAGATCAATAATGAGATAAAATATATTTTTATCCTTCTCTGTCCAGATTTTAGCAGTTCGATATTTGTGGGGAAAAGAGAATTACATGAATTGTCAGTGTAATATTTAAATGAATAATTTATATATTTTCAATTTTGTGTTATAGTTATGGATATTTGCTTTTTGTTATCATAACAGAGTATGATTTACTTTTTACTTCAGGAAATTCTTAAATGCGAAACTCCATGTTATCAATGGAAGCAAGTCATTGTACCTTTGAAAAACCCCTTCCCAACTGGTGGAAACTTTAAGTAAGTTATTGGGTTTTTAAAATTTTAATTTTGTTTGCTACAATTTAGACACACATAATGATCACATTTATCATATGGAATTTGGGAAACAACCTAAATGCCCATCAACTGATAAATGGATGAAAAAGATGTGCTTTTTTTCTTCACAGTGGAGTATTATTCAGCCATAAAAAGGATACACTTGAGACATTTATTGCTAAATGGATGTGCCTTGAAGCTATACTCTTAAGTGAAATAAATCAGTCACACATGTAAATATTGTATTGTCTCTGTGGTATAAGAAACTGAAAAGTGTAAATAGGAACCAAAATGTATAGTAGACAATGCGAAATAAGAAAAAACTATTGTTTTGGTTTAAATATATTATACTTAGTTATTTCTACTCTAAAGAGAAATATATATATATATCTATATATATAGATATATATATATAGATATATATCTATATATATAGATATATATATATATTTCTTCAACTGTTGAACAGGAACCATTTTGAGAAGAAGCTACATTTGTTTACATTCCTGGAAATGTATAAGCATCATCAGATAAAATAAAACATTATGTGTAAAGGCTCATGTTAATTATGTAATTTGTTGTCATGGAAGTTTTCATAATATTCCCTTATATGTTCCTTTAAATTTTTGGAATTTAAACGATGTCGCTTCCTTCACTTTAATGATTTAATCATTCTGTCTTCTATTCTTAATCAATCTTGGTAAAAATGTATTATTATCTTACTGATCTTTTTCAAATGACACCTATTTCCTTGGTGTTGTGGATTGCTTTTTTGTTTGTTGGTATTGGGGTTCAAACTCAGGTCCTTGTGCTTGCGAGACAGGTAGTGGCACAACTGAGCAAAATCTCCAGCCCTTATTGTTTTTTTAATTTTATGTCCATGGTAATATTCTATTTTTGTCATAACTTATTTCTTTCTGCTTGCTCTGTGTTTAGCCTTCTGTTCTTTAAAAAACATAAAATTATATTTATCTTGGGGTATTGGGACATATACAAAGCACATTTTGATCACTTTCACTTACACTTTCCCTTGTCGCTCGGTCTCTTCTCTTCCCCTTTACACAGAATGCCTTCCCATCTCCACAAATTCTCCTCTCTTATTTTCTACCATTTGTCTTTTATTTGGGTCTTTTAATTATTCATATTTTGAGTCTTAGATGGAAACTGCATGGTATTTATTCTTCTGTGTCTATTTTATTTCACTTAAGTTTAGGATATCAAGATCTATCCATTTTCTTACAAATGACCCAAATTTATCATTCTTTTTGCCTGAGTAGTACTTGATTGTATGTATGTATCACATTTCCTTATCCATTTATCTGTTGATGGACATATAGGCTGCTTGTATAATTTAGCTCTTGTGAATTGCAGTGGTATAAAATGGGTGTGCATGCATCACTGAAGTATGATGTCTTTAAATCTTTTGAGAAGATACCCAGAGGAAGAATATCTGGGTCAAATGGAATTTCTATTTTTATTTTCCTAAAGAATCTGATTTCCACAGTAATTGTACTAGTATACATTCTTACCTTCACTGTAGAAGGTGTTCTTTTTCCTTATTACCTCCAGAATTTATAGTTTTCTGAGTTCTTGAAGAAATCTATTCCTACTGGGGTAAAAAGGAATCTCTATTTTTTGTTTTACATTTCTCTAATAGTCAAAGCTGCTTAGCATTTTTCATATAGTTATACACCATGTTTACTCCTTCTTTTGTAAAGTGTCTATTCATTTCAGTTGCTCATTTTTTCACTGTTTTTTATTTTGTTTTTTTTTAGTTCTTTATATGTTCTAGATATTAATACTCTCTCAGAAGTAGCTGGCAAAAAATTTTTACCATTCTTTAGGTTGACTCTACATTTTATTGTTTGTTTCCTTTAGTATGGAGAAGCTTTTTAATTTGACATAATCACATTTATTGAATCTTGTTAATGTTTATGTCTTCAAGAATTTTACCTATTTTATTTTACAGAAGATTAAGTATTTGTGATTTTATGTCTAGGTTTTTGATCCATTTTCATTTCACTACAAGGTAAAACATACGAACCTACATCCATTTTTCACATGGATTGACTAGTTTTCCCAACACTATTTGTTAAAAAGGCTATCTTTTCTCAAGCATATGGCTTTGGCTCCTTTGTCAAAAATAAGATGACAAGATGCATGGAGTTGTTTATGCATCCTCCAGTTCCATTCCATTGTTTACGATGCCTTTTTGTGTGTCGCTACCATGTTGTTATTATTACTATAGATTTGTAATATAACTTGAAATCCAGGATAGTAATGCCTCCTGCTTCGTTCCTTTTGTTCAACATTCCTTTGATTATTCTGTATATCTTCTAGTTGCATATATATTTGAGAGTTTTTTCTATTTCTGTAAAAAATGTAGGTAGTATTTTGCTTGGAGTTGCATTAAATCTATATTTCCTCAATTGTAATATGCTCATTTTGACAATATTTATCTACCTATCCAGGAACAAGGGATATGTTTCCAGTTTCTAGCATCCTTTTCAATCTCTTTTTTTTAATTAATTTTATTTATACACTTTAGGTATACGATATAATGACATTCATCATTGGAAATGTATACATTTACATAATCTACCTTTGCTCTAATTTTTCCCCATTCCCCTTCCCTCCCTTCAACCCCACCAACCCTCCTTATCTACAAAGACTTTGTTTCCATTTTTTGATTTTCTCATATTTTTTAAAGTTTTTTTTATTGAGTTTATTGGTACAGTCTAGGTATACAATACAGTTACATTCATCATTGGGATTCTGTACCTTTACATAGTAGGTCTTGGTTCTCATTTTTTCCCCTTGTCCCTGCCCTCCCTTCACCCCCTCCTCCCCTCCCCATTTACAAACACTTTATTTCCATTTTTTCAGTTTCTCATATTTTTTTTCCTCTCCCTTATTATCTCTCCCGCA